CCCCAAAACCCCAAAACCCCAAAACCCCGAAAGCCAGCTTTCTTGGAAACATTTGATAAAAGATTTCGAAGGATTGGCATTTTAATTTATTTATAAGCTTTGTAAAAAAATGCATTCTAAATCAAGAACCTATGGAGGTGGAAGCGATTTCTTATCAAAGACATAGTATGGAGTCCCATTCACTACGAATTATTAAATAAACGGTACTGGAAGAGATTCTTATATAGCTGTAAATAATGGTGGATTCTATGCAAGCTATGAGCCAGCAAAGGCTGCTGATTTGGGATCATTCTTGTCCAATAAAGCTAAATATGCTCATAACTACAACAAGCAAGCACCTCAGAAATATGTATTTTACACAACAAATGGAAGCGGTAGAGACAGTTATATAGTTAATAATAATGGTGGGTTCTATCCATCACAAACAGTAGCAGCCTATAGAAAGTAATTCTTCGATTAGTTTAGATACTATGAAAAGCCTGTGACAAATGCCTATCTAGCAAGAAGAAACCAAAGCACTTACAAAGTAACAAGTGAAGGAAAACTCGTTACCAATAAAGATGTATTTATGGAATCATAAGGTTTTGTAAACCACAAATATCACATGAATATGACGAAGCAATATAAGGAGTAAAATAGATTGAATAAGAGACTATCGCAGCCAAAATATCTCAGTTCAAGCAATTCAATAGTTGGCAGCCAAGCTCCATTAAGTATAAGCCCAGAAAAAGTATCAAAGTAAAATATAGAAACTAATAGCAGAAGTAGAAGTCCAGAGAATTAAAAAAAGTTAAGCAGGTTCTTAAGTTCAAGAAATAGTCAACTTAAGTTGACTACTCTCTTTGATAAATAAGAAGACAGAAAGTATCCTCTAATTGAGGCTTTGAGAAAGTAAAGTCAAACAATTGACATTCAGAGATAATGAGAAACCCTATCTGCAACATAAAATGTTGTAATACTATAAGGAGGTCACATCCTTGTTTAATGATGAGACTATAAATGATTTTCGTTGAGAATCATAAATTTGATATAAGCTTAAATAATTAAATATAAGTATATATCTGTTTCTTGAATCTATCTCAATATTGAAATTCATCACGGGGTTTTGGGGTTTTGGGGTTTTGGGG